TACTTTACTCTTTGGTTATACTTTCCTTTTGGGTGTTTAAGACCATACAGTTGGCCCAAATAAACCAATTTATTTTTACTCTTAAGGTCATTTGAGGAGGATTTATTCCTCAGGGGTCACATGGGCTTGGGAGGAGCCCCTGGCTCCTTTCTTTTACCAGTTCCATCTATGTGAAGATAAGTTAAAGGTCCTGTTCGATCGTGGCTGGCTTCACTTGGAAGCATGGAGGAAATGTTTCCTCTGTGTTGACTTTCCTCTTTGTAGATTGGACACTGGTTCAAGACCATCTGGTGGGGTCTCCTTGGCCTCCCTGAACAAGAGGACAGGTGACTCACCGCAGTTACAGGACATTTTGAGAGATGCTCCATAGTCCCCTGGAACTTAGTTGATCTTGGAGGTCAAGGAGCAAAAAACTGTCTTTTATGTCCCTCTGACCAGATTAGTATAGGCCTCAAAGTGTGGCTGTTAAACATCCAAGAAGGTTAGTTCCACCAGTCTGGTACTTTCAATTAGTATGGAGCAGATTTTTGTGAAAGAATTGAGTTCAAGCATTTTGTCTCCCTGCAAGCCTATCCCAGTCCTGCACTTACATGCCAGTTAAACCTAATAATACAACTCATAACTAATAGAGGAGTCACTGAGGCAGTCAGACAAGGACCAATTTAGTTATGCACAGATGATGGTTTTCAGCATGTCCAGTGTGAATTAAACTGGCAAATTAGATTAAAAAGTAAAATATTGACCTTTCCAGTTAATCGTTATTTGCATCGTTTTAATATTTAACAGTTTGGGTGTATGTTTATGAGTCACTTGGGCCCAACACTGTCTACTGAGTTCACCATATGAGCAATAAAGTGGGTAAGGAATTCATATCAAATGAAACTTAATATTTAGATTTAATATTTTTCTGAATGCCCCATCTGTATTTTGACTTTAAATGAATTTATAATTCAATTTGTACCCAATAAAGAAAACATTTCAACTCTGGTTAATATATGAATGACTTAATGAATAATATTTTTAATTATTTGACTTTGCTCTTTTTTCGTCCTTTATTTTTTAATTATTATTATCAAATCAAACAGTTGGAAAGGAATGAAAGAGACCATTTGGTTAGGTACTCTTGAGTTAAACATACAAAACCACCATTTTCTCATTTGTAGCACTTACATTCAACTGGGAGAAACTGATAAAGAAACCCCTAAACAACTCTCTCAACCTGAGAGTGTCCTCGAACAGGGCTTAATTGATAAGTTGCTGTGATAGAACCTAAGAAAGATAAATCCCCTTTGCCATTAAAAAAATTGATTCATAACATACTTCAAAACTGTGTGATCACAATCTTTAAAAACATGCTATACTTCTGTAAATTAGAATTGCCCTTGGTATGCTTTCAATATAACTAATATTTCTAAAATATCATTTCAGGAATCAAACTCTCCACTGGCAAGCCATTGGCAATCCTCGATGTCAAGGAACCTGGAAAAAAGTGCGGCGAGTGGACCAGTGTTCCTGCCCAGATGTCCATAGTTTCATTTTTATATAGAGTGCCAGCTAAACATTTCAAAACATGCTTGAAAAATATGCTGAATATTGCCAAGCTGTGTTTAATGCTTCAAAAACCTTCAAAAATGGCCCCAAATTTTTGGGCACTTTGCTGTTGAGAAAGAAAATTTAGGGGAAAGTTCTCAAGGATCACAGTATCTTTGTTCTTTTATTGCTGAGCTGAGGACTCACACTAAAATCTCCTATTGTTCTTAAGTCCTTGACCTTGCTTCTGGTCACGGGACACATGTCTGTTGTCACTAGAATCACTACCAGGAGCTCCGGCTTTTGGCAAGTTGTTAAGGGCATCTATGTCTTGTTTCTATCTTTGAAAGTTTCTTACTTTAAAAATATATATACATGTATGTTTGCTCACATATATACTTCCCATATATTATCCTTTAAGTGCTAAAATAATAATTTCAAGCAAATTGTTAAATGTTCAGTAGTCATTTTGTAAGGAAAAGGTCGTCAGCCATGGTCAAAACTTTTTTAAAAATCACATATGCAAGTTTCCAGTGGCCTGAAAGCTTCTGCTTCTCTATGTTCATGGACTAATCCTGGCTCTTACAATCTTTCCACCTCTTCTGCAATGGTCCTTGAGCTATGGGTGGATGAGGCTTAATGTGGGAGTCCTATCCAGGGATACATACTCTGTACAGGCTCTTAATCTTTAAAACTTGGCCAGTTGTGGCCTTCTGTGTGCCTCACACTCTGCTATATAGGGAAACTTCACTGGTGAGAGTTGAGGGATGCACTAGTTTTCTCTCTACCCTCTGTTCCACTACGTTCTGTGAACCTTAGGTGCAGAGGCTTCACTGTAGATATGTCACCTAGGACTGGGCATCTCTCAGATGTATATTCTCTGTGTCTGACCAGTTGTGGGATTCTGAAGTAGCCTCCATCTATTGCAAAAAGAAGCATCTTTGAGCACAGGACCCATGCCAACTCAATCAGACAAGGGCCCAGAGTGGAGAGAGGGAAAAGTGTGGTGGGCTGGCCGTAGTCTGAGGACTTCTGGAGACTGATTACTACTCGGTGTGGGAGAGTAGACCTTATTTACGATCTCTAGATAAGCTGACTAGACTCCAGTGGATGAATTTGCACCAAAGGACATCTGGGTATAAATGCAAGACTGAACAGGACTTAACATGTATGATGGAATATATGAGATCTGGTGGGGGGGCATGTATAAGGGAGGGAGGAGTCTAAATTTGATTAAGAACTGTTGTATGAAGTGTACAAAAGCTCAATAAAAATTAAGAAAACTTTTTTGAAGGAGAAATTTTCTTTGAGAAGATGAATCAAATATTTAATAGAGTTCCTCATTTTCAAGAAATTTTGGCAGCAATGAATGAGCCAAATGCTTTGCGAAAATTCTGCCACCATTCATATATAAAACTATTTCCAAAGTTTAAGGCCTGAAGTAGAATAAAACACTCTTTTACGGTGCAGCTTTCATGTTTATTTGAAAGATGCTTCTGATTTTTTACGCCCAAACCTCTTTTTTTTTTTTTTCTTATGTTTGGGTGGGAAGCAGAGGTGTTGATAGGATACATGGATTTTACTGCAAATGGAAGATCAATGAACTCAAAGTGGTGTGTTTGTGGATCTGGGATGGCAAGCCTTTCTGCAGTCCACTGCAGAGCCTGGCCAGCATCCTATGCAGGACTCTGCCTTAGTGAAGCGCCCCTGACAATGCCAGACTCCACTGTATGACTTTAGCCTGGTTTCATTTTGAAACATGTTTTAAAACAGATTTTTACTTTTATTATTTTTATTTTCTGTGTATGCGTGTATTGCCTGCATGTAAGTGCATCCGTGTTGTGCAATGCCCGTAGAGGTCAGAAGAGGCTGTTGGATCCCCTGGAACTGGAGTTACAGATAGCTGTTAGCTGCCATGTGGGTGCTGGGATTCGAACCTGGGTCTTCTGCAAGAACAGCCAGTGTTCTTAACCACTGAGCCATCTCTCCAGCCCCCTTATTATTTTTATTCTATGAGTGTATTATCTGCATGTATGTAAGTGCAACCCGCATTGTGCAATGCCTGCAGAGGTCAGAAGAGGGTGTTGGATCCCCTGGAACTGGAGTTATGGATAGTTGTTAGCCACCATGTGGGTGCTGGGAACTGAACCTAGGTCCTCTGCAGAAGCAGCTAGTGCTCTTAACTGCTGAGTTATCTTTCCAGTCCCCCCCATACCCCCCAAAACAGTTTTTTCTTAGAAAAATTGGATCTTGAGATTTAAACTGTATAATTCCTTTGGTTTCAATTGAGTTACTTAATTATTCACTAACATGGTTAACTAATACATATATTTTGGTACTTATCATGAAACAGAATGCCAACAGTAAGCTTTAAAAGGCTCCAGATGTCTCCGATATTTAAGAGCGTATTTCTGACTGTATTTTCATTTATCTGTCAAAATTGTTTTCATGGAAAATTAATAATAAAAATTTGAACTTCAGGGCTTGAAGATGGCTCAGTAGTTGAGTGTTTGCAGAGGGCTACAGTTTGGTTCCCAGCACTTACATTGAGTGGCTCACAACCACCTGTAACTTCAGCTCCAGGGGGATCCAAAGCCTCTGGTCTCTGAGGTCACAGCACTCAAGTGCACACACATACGTGCATGTAAGTAAAACTGTATAAAAATTGAATTTCATCAAAGCTAGCAATTTCAGTATCAGCATCGTTAGGTGATTAGAAAATTTATAAAGCAGGAGTTTTGAAGCTATGTCTGTGTACTTTCTAATATTACTTAAATTTTATGAAGTAAATTAGTTTTATTTCTGTTCACATTTATAAAAGCCCTTCACTTGACTTAAATTCTAGACTACTCAGAGAATGAATAAAATTTTGCCAAAACAAAAAATTCTCTAGAATCGACAGGTTTAAGTATCATGCCAACTAATAGCAATATAGTTAATGATGTATTTATGATTCCAATGTGTATTGGTTGCATAAAGTCAGTTTTTCATCTTATACACTTAATTTTTGTTGCATGGCCACCAATTATTTCAATTTTTATTATTTTTATTCTTGAGAACATGTTGTAAGTAGACATAACAGTTATTGTAGCAAAGCCCTAAGAACTGTTCAGAACTGAAACATGCAGGCTAGAGATTCATGAAGAATCAGAAGTTTTTATTTTTTGAAGTTAATAACCAAAGTGTGTAAAGACCTCCTGGTCTTCTCTAAAGAGTTGCTTAGTGTTAGGGTCCTTTCTGCAGGCACCCTACAGCGTTTTATAGACTCAAATATCACTTATTAGACTTGTTTTCCAAAAGTACATGTGGAAAGTCAGTTGAACAAAAATAGGTAAGCTCATCTGAAAAGGGAAAGAAAATAGGGGTAAAGATCTAAATGATAAATTCAAACTGGAAAAAAGGGGGGATGTAGACTAAAAGGAGCTGTAATATCAGTCTCTTTTTAAGAGTCTGTTTCGTTGTTTTTATGTGAGAATGTCATACTATATAGCAATTCCAAATTGCCTGAATGTCTTTTCACGTAAGAATTTTAATTATCCATCTTTTCAAGGTAAGCATAAAAATGATGTCAAATAAAACTAGTTTTTGCCTTTTCAGAACATTCTAGTGGCAGTCCATATAAACAATTTCAAGCCGATTCAGAAAGCTAGGAGTGGGGTCAGGCTGTTTTGCCTGCGTGTATATACGTGCACCATATAGATGCCTAGTGATGGTAGAGGCCAGAAGCGGGCGTTGGATCCCCTGGAACTGAAGTTAAGGACAGGTGTGAACCTCCATGTGGGTGCTGGGTACTGAATCGAGGTCTTCTGGAAGAGAAGTGCTCTCAACTGCTAAATCATCTCTCCAGGCCCTGAAACAAGGTCTTTTCTACATAACCTAGCTGGCCCAAAACTCATGGCAATCCTCCAACCTTACCTTCTTGAGAGAGTTAGGATTATAGGTGTGAACCATCATGATTTTCAAGAAGAGGCTCAGGGAAGTTGACCAAAGTAGATCTTGACATTGAGCTCCTGCTGTTTGCATACATTTAGCACATGGCCTACCACATTTCACCACAGTTCATTCTGAAATTAAGCAGTGTTAAACAGGGACTGTCTAAATAACTCAGTAGTTAAAAGCATCCTCTACTGGCCTCCATAGGCATTGCATGCAAAACACTCACAGAGAAAAAATCTGGATGTGGTGGTACCCACCTTTGGTTCCAGCACTCAGAAGGCACAGGCAGGTGGATTGATCTCTATGAGATCAAGACCAGCCGGGTCTGCATAGTGAGTTCCAGGTCAGCTGGGGCTAGAGGGAGACCTGTCTTAAAAAAAAAAGTATTAAACACACATTTAACCTATTTTCTATTCAAAATTTCAGATTTATATTTTTCCTCAAAATTACTCATTAGCTTGCTGTTCCTCTAACAGCTCGTAAACGATGTAGTGTTCAGCCCTTGGCAGCAGTAGAGAGGCTTGGATTTGGAGAAACATGAATCTTCTTGGTGTCACGGACCATTGATGACTCTTGGTGGGGGCGGGTTGGGGGTGAGAAACAGACACAGAACAACACATTTCCATCACAAGTGCTTTGTGAGGAATTCCTGTACATCCCACTATCCCCTGCAACTAGACTTCCAGTGCTATGGAGACTCCTGACCTTGGCTTCCATATGCTAGGGACATCAACATGTGTGGAATAAAGGGAAGAGAGCCTGCCTGAACAGTGATGTTTCATTGTGGATTATCAGCAGTTAAATGAAAGTTCTGTCACTTACCAATGCAATTTTGGGCAAGTCAAAATAATCTGCAACTTGACTCCTCTATGATGTGCAATTTACACTGTCCTACTTAATCAGTTTTGCAAGAAATAATGCATGGATCATGAAACACTGTACCAATATATGGAGTTTTTAAGATAGATGTGAGCCGCTCAAAGACCCAAGTGTAAAGAAAAACTTACTTTTAAAAGTAAGCATCTTTTGTACATAACAGAAAATCACTATTCTTTTTCTTTGAGAATTACAGTATATAAGCCATCCTATTTCTTGTGCCAAAACATCTTCCACTTTTGCTCTTTCAACAGTTTCTTCAACATTGCCTGGCTGAACTGCCATACACATTGGGGGTCCTCTTGGAAGAGATCTGACTGGTCCTGGAGGAAAGGGGGCTTTTTATGCTCCATGCTCTTCAATAAGAAGGTCAGAGGTTCAAGCCCAATGCTGAGGTACTGAGCCTAAGAGGTTGTGGCGAGTCAGCGTCTTTTAGATTTGTATTCCAAATTCTCATCAGCAGGCTGGTCTTGGAAATTCAACCTGTTGACTTAGTTTAAAAGTGGGTTGAGGGCTGAAGACATAGTGAGCAAGAACCTAGGTTCTACTCCTAACATAGAAAAAAGTGGTTCAGCCGGGCGTGGTGGAGCATGCCTTTAATCCCAGCACTCGGGAGGCAGAGACAGGCAGATCTCTGTGAGTTCAAGGCCAGCCTGGTCTACATAGTGAGTTCCAGGACAGCTGGGGCTACAGGGAGACCCTGTCTCAAAAAAAAAGTGGTTCAGAACTTGGAAGAGAAAAATAAAAAGACAAATTCACAGACGGTTGTGGCACTTGCCTGAAATTCTCACATGGGAGAACAAGGCAGAAAGATTGCAATTTAAGGCCAATCTAGAATATACGGGGAGGCATTCTTTTTTTTAAAATATTATTTTTATGTGTATGAGTGTATTGCCTGCATGTAGGTAAGTGTACCCGTGTCATGCAATGCCCGTGGAAGACAGAAGAAGCTATCGGATCCCCTGGAACTGGAGTTACGGACAGTTGTTAACTGCCATGTGGGTGCTGGGACTCGAACCCGGGTCTTCTGCAAGAACAGCCAGTGTTCTTAACCGCTGAGCCATCTCTACAGCCCCAGGGAGGCATTATCTTAAAGAACCAAAAATGTGTAAAAGTTTTCAGATTCAGAAATAATTTCAGTCAAAACAAGGCTCAACAAATTTTAAAGGTAGGAGCAACAAACAACAACCTGTAACTGAAAGCTGACCTACTATAAACCAGTTCTGCCAAACACAAGTAACCATGCTTGACTGCCTTGCAACAAGCTCTGAATAGTCTGTCTTCATTTTTCAGATGGTTTTAATAACTCAAATGCTCATTAAAAGTATAATAAATGTGACAAGCATATAATGGATTATGATGTAAAAAAGCAAATTAGCTAGATCCAATTTGGATCCTGCAAATACCCTGAGTGAAAGGGATGCCAGCAAGAAATACCTGGAGCATTTCATTTAATTTCCTTAATCATCAACAGGCCAGAGTAGGAAAACCAAACAAAGCACTCTCCCATCTTTTGCAGAATGGTTTGGAACTGGAACACTCCTTCAACCCCGTTCAAGATATCTCTGCCTTAGCCTTTGCCTCTTGCTTCCAGAGACCCTAAAAAAATCAGAGGTGTAGGTCCTGAGTGCTCCTGAGTCTTTTCTGAAAGCTTGTCCGATACTAGGCATGGCCTTGGCTTTCCAGATCCCCAGGTCTAAAGAGGGGTCCTAAGTCCCACTCTATCCTGTCCTCACCTTTCCTTCCCTGGCTTTTTGCTGCTTGCCCCAATGGCTACAGGCAGTATATCTTTAAGTGCTTTAAAATTTTATTTTTGTTAGCATACAAAGTAATGACTTTCATATGGCATTTTCATACGTTAGCATAACTTTGTTCTACATACTCCTCTTCTACTCCTCCCAGCCATGATACCCATCCTCTCTTGTACCGTTCTTTCATGTCCCATGCTAAATCTTTATTCTTAGCCCTCCTCACCTTGCATCTCTTCCTTCCTTCTCATAGTACCTCCCTTTCTACATTTGCATTCTCTGCACACACACACACACACACGTGTGTGCGTACAAACCTTAATCTAAATTCTGCCTATGAGAACATACGGTGTTTGAGTCTGGCTTGTTTTGTTTAACATGATCTCTAGCTCCTTCCCCTTGGACAATCTCAAACTGCCCATTTGAAGTTGGTCTAGCCTAGAGGTGGTTAAACGAGTTGAACTTCAAGGCACAAGCAGGTCAAAACAAAGTACAATTTTGTGAAGATTTGCACTGCATTCTTTGGTACCCACAAGCTGCCCTAGGATTGCACTGCTGTCACAGAAGCTGCCAAGCTAGGGAGGGGCTGGGTGGTACATAAGCAAAACACCAGTTTTCATCGTTACTGGACTTTCTTCACTAGGCACTTCTCTGGTTCTTCTATTTATTTATTTTTTTAAGCTATTAGGAGTTCTAAGTAGTTCACACAACATGCTCTGCCCTGATAATGGTGCCACGTGTGGATTCCATTTTGTGAAGCAGGTCTTAAATCCAGTGTTTGATCATTCCTATAACATTCTTATCATTGCATTAGTGGGCATATCTAGCTCGTAAGGTTGTTAAGATTGATGATTACTTTTCTCTTCCAGTAGCATGCATGGCACCTAAGCTAGCCAGTAGGGATGAAGCTTCCAGGCCAGCACCTGCTTGATTTCTCCATGTTTTATGACTCAAGTATGCCTTGTCTTCAGCAATAGGGTCTTACTGTCAAGTTGTGGTGGATAAGTAAGCAGCGACAATAGTTTGTGAAGTTTGTGCTGCAGGGGGTGTGGGTGGGAATGGGATGTGTGGTATCTATGAGATCCCATTGGGAAACAACTAGAAAAGGTAGCCCATTCCTGGTAGTGGGGTTATTATAGTTTTACCAAACATTAATAGCAAGGAAAACTGGGCAAGGAAGTTTTGTAATTCTTGCAACTGCATGTGAATCTATAATTATCTCAAGAACAGAAAAAATTTTTAAGTAATTCAGAGGATTCAGACTGGAGATGTTTTAGGAATATACTATTTTGTAATTATTTTTATGTATCTAGGAGTTATATAAAAATGCTATTTAAATAAATCTCAAATAGCTATTGAGGCTAGGGAGATGATACAGTGAGAAGCACTTGCCACTAAGCCTGAGTTCAATTCCCAGAATCCAATGAACCCCACATGCTGGAAAGAGAGGACACCCCCAACTCTGACCTCCTCCACATGCACTCAGCCCACACTAAATTATAGCACTTTATTATAGCAATTTGGGTTTGAGGAATATGGAATGTGTTCAGAATGAAGTTGACTTTCAAGTCTATTTTCACTCAAGCTGTCAGCATTGGGGCTAATCATCAATGTCTGATAATCATGGTGACAGTAGCATGTAATGAACAGAGCAGACTATGTCAGGAAGCATATAGCAATCATTCGTGATAAATAAAATTGTTTATTACATATAGGACAATATAACTTTAAGAACAAAGGGAAAACAATGCATGACACTAACGGAAAATTGGAGCGATCACACCATACCAATAGGGATTTTTAAATGTAAATTCTTACCTATTTGCTAAATATAGCACATAAAACTCAAAATGATGAATGATCATGGCTAATACAGACTTAAGGATTTACACAACGCTAATTATACCCAATATTATTATATTAAGTATCAGAGAACCCAATATCAGTTTTAAAGGAGTTTTATTTTAAACCACCTTTGTTAAAGCCTTAAAACTTAAAAGTAAAATTACTCCTGATGGGGATACACAGCTATTCTTGCAAACAGAATCAATTCTGTCCTAAAGCAATACTATTTAGGTTCTTTCCTTTACTTGGAAGTACTGAGCAGAAAAGTCAAGCATGTAACACCTCGTAAATTACTATGAGTACTTATCAAAGGACTATCATAATTCATTTCTTTAGAAAATTCATTTTCATATGGCACCTTATAAGGCTAAAATTAGTTTATAGACAAAGAATAAGTAAATAGAAATATCCCCTACATGGATAAATACTCCCCCCCTTTTATCAGGTTTCTACTTTTCCATTAAAACAGGAGTGGGGAACTGAATTTGGTAGGGTTTAACCTAGAAATATTTTACCAAAATACAGATTTTTGAAGAATACAATGATGGCATATAATTTTACCTTTATAGCACAAATCCACAGTAATGAAGTTATCACAGAAAAATAATGCTTTAAACAAAAACTTTAAATTACATCAGTGACCAGCAAGTTTTAAACAAAATGCAGTAATCAAAGTATTTAACTGTCCTTTTATTAAGCTGTGGCAAATACAATCAGCCTTCGGTGTCTGAGGAAATCAGTTTTAGTTTCTTCATAGTTCTCCATCTGTCTTTTAACATGACACTTGTTCGGTTGTTGAACTTATAATGCGACAGTATTTTAGCCCAGTTTCCCTCTCCGTATTTCTTCACACCATACTTCAAATTCTTATCCTCTTCCCAAAGCCATGCCTTTTGATAAAACAGCAGTTACTCAAACATTTTTTAAAAAGAATGCATCTACTATAAATGAAACTTACTACAAAGTAATGCTTAATTTCTTAAAGATGAAAGAATTTTTATTTTCTTATTTTTATAGGATCTTACCTTTGTCACATATCATTTTAAGGGTAATTATTACTGTTTATTTCATACAAACTCAGTTACCTAATATTTGACAGTCAGAAAGTGAGAGCTCCCAACCCATCTGACTTTATGGCTCATATGATCTCGTAAGAGCTTTCATACAATCCTTACTAGTATACCATATCCCTAAAAAGAGATACTTCATTAATGAACTCAGTGAAAATTCTGATTTGCCTACACTGTGGGAAGCATACAGAAAGAGAGAGAGGAAAAAAAAAAAAACTTGTCTTTTGCAAGACATTTTAAAAACTACAACTACTATAAATTTAAATGTACACTTTAAGTTGGGAGAAAATGACAGAAAAAATTTTAAATGGAATCTAAAACTTTGCACAGAGAAAGTACTAATATTTAGCTATAGGTGACTAATTATTCTTTCTTTAGGCAAGATAAAGAGGGATTTGACTGTCTGAATCACACAAGAAAATCTTGTTTATCCACTCTCATTTGGATAACTACTATAAAAATAATAAAAAAAAAATTGGTGAGGATGTGGAGAAAGTGAAAGCCATGTGTACTGCCAAAGGAATGTAAATGACATGGTCTCTCTGAAAAACAGTATGGTAGTTTCTCAAAAAATTAAAACTAAAACTAGCATATGATCCAGAAATTTTACTTCTGGGTACAGAAAGAAGAAACTTGAAAAGATATCTGTACATTGATGCTCAGTTGCATTATTTATAATACTAAAATGTAGAGGTAAGCCATCATACATTAATAAACAATCAACATAATACAGAATATTATTTATCCTTAAAAAAGAAATTCTGATATATTACAACATCATATATAACCCTTAAGAACATTATGTTAAAAGTCACTCATATGAGGTACCTAGAACAGTCAAATTCAGAGACAGACAGGCAGAAGGGTAGTTGTGAGGCAAGACAGCAAAGGTGGGTGATGAAGAATTGTCTGATGGGTCCAATTCTGTGCATAGGTGGTGAAGTATGTTTACTGCCACTGAATTGTACACTTAAAAAAATTCAAGGTGGCCTGAAGACACATATGGCAAAACTTTCTTATAGATAAGCCAATACCAGAAAACCTGGCATGAGCATAACCAAAGCCTCTGCAGGTTTGCCTGAGTGTCCACAAGCCTGACTCCTCTGCTTTATACCTTCAAAATGATGATATTCACAGAAGACAGCTTGTGACAGGAATTCCCGCTATGTAGTCTTGGTGGGGGCAGGGGGAGCCTACATTTCTGCAAGGTATTCACTTTTCTTCCTAATGGAATAAGTTTACAAAGGGCTCTTCAAATTCTGATGAGGCAGGCAGAAGTAACTGTTTGTTTAGCAGACAAGAGAAAAAGCTATCCAATTTGATATGGACTATTTAAAATTAAAAAAAAAATTTAAAAACCTATTTTATTTTTTTATTCTTTATGTAAGTGTTTTGCCTGCATGTACATAAGTGTACCTGTGTTATGCAATGCCCGTGGAGGTGGGAAGAGGGCGTTGGATTCTCCTGTAACTGTAGTTATGGACGGATGTTAGCTGTCATGTGAGTGCTGGGAACCAAACCTGGGTCCTCTGCCAGAGTAGTCAGTATTCTTAACCCACTGAACCATCTCTCCAGCCCCTATTTTAAATAAAAATTTAAGGAACTGAAAATCACAAAACAACATAAAATTAAATCTGCCAGCCACCTTCTGAAACAAGTTCCTACCAAAAAGTCAACAGTGCATAGATGAAAAACTTTTTTGACAAAAGATGCAGTCACATGTTTAGCACCCATATACTTCATAGATTGTATGGTTGATACCTTATGTTCTGTTTTGAATACAGGAAAGAAAAACTTTTCTTGATACATGACACCTGCAATCTATTTCTGAATACTACTGGGAAAGATTATATGAGGTAGGGATTTGTAGTTCCCAGTCTGATAAGCAGAGTATTTGGAAATCACCAGTCCCATCTCCAGAAGAAAAACTGGAACAAACTGAAAACTAGTAGGTCTTCTTAGATCCATCAGAAAATCAGTTATAAGGCAAACTGTTTGCTTGAGTATTATAGATATGGAGAATCACAGAAATTACTGAAAATTGGCTGTGTTCCAGGTCTAGTGAGATGGAGGTAGGAGGATCAGTTCAAGGTAGGCCTTGATTACACGCAAAGAATTTGAGGCCAGTATTGGCTATAAGATACCATGTCAAATAAATCAATAAATAAATAACTGGGAGCAAAGGTCAGGAACAGAAGTTTGTAATTGGAGTCATTACTGGCAGGAACAATGAACTGGTGCTGGGTTAGCACATATGAACTTCAGAGTGAAAACGTCTAGGGGCACAACACTTTTGTGAGTTTTACCTTCAGGAGCTCCATCAGGTTTCATACAAAAAAAGATTATAGAAAAATCTATTGTCACTATGCATGGTGGCACTTGGCAAACAGAGGCAGGCAGATCTCTGTGAGATCAAGGCCTTCCTGGTTTACATAGTGAGATCCAGGCCAGTTGGGGCTATAGGAGGACCCTGTCTCAAAAAGACAAAATAAATAAGTCGAAGGTCCTGCTTGACTGTGGCTGGCTTCACTTGGAAACATGGAGGAAATGTTTCCTCTGTGTTGACCCTCCTCTTTGTAGACTGGACAATGGTTCCTACAAAGAGGAGGGTCAACACAGAGGAAACATTCCTCCATGCTTCCAAGCAAAGACAGCCATGGTTGAGCAGGACCTTTGATTTATCTTTACATAGGTGTAACTGGTAAAAGAATGGAGCCAGGGGCTCCTCCCAAGCCCACGTGATCCCTGAGGAACAGATCCTCAAATGACCTTAAGGGCAAAATTAAATTGATTTATCTGGGCCAACTGGATGATCTTAAACACCCAAAACGAAATTATAACCGAAGATTAAAGGGATCAATGTAATTCTTTGAGAGTGCATGTGTATAGCTAAAGGCTACATATAATAAGAAACAATGCCACTCAGGAGATACCTTCCTCTGTTGGCCAGGGGGCTCTGAGAGACTCTCAGACAGTAACCCAGCATAGAACTGGGAAAATTAACAGTAGACCCCAGTCCTATTTAAAGGAATATTGACAACTGATTGCTGCTAGATAAGAAACAGCTGATCTTCATAAAACAAGGATCTCTAGATAGGCTGACTAGAATCAGCAGATGGACAAGCACTGGGGAATGGCTGTGGTGCCAACAACACAGTGGACAGTAACAGGGATGACAAAGTATATGGGCTCCAGTGAGGGGTGGGGGAGACTATGGGATGGTATCATTTGGGATAGACACTAGCAGGGATATGAGAGTATAAGGGCTCTATTGGGGGGAGGGAGGCTATGGAAGGGTGTTATATAGTAAGTGGGCATAAAAATAAATTTTTAAAAAATTAAAATAATAATTCTTCAAAGCATAAAAATTTGCTCCTTAATAATTAGTAGATGTGAAAAACATTACCATGGAAATCTACCTGATGACTTTATATCCATGCTCAGGTGCCAAGGATCTCAGAAAGACTGTGACTAGTAATAATCAGATACACAGAGATTAGAGACGCATGTGCAGACATCTAAGTGTTAGTAACACTAAAAATGAGCCTTTCTGTATGAAACAGTATATTTTAAAATGAAATGGAGATCTTTTTTAAAGGTTAAAACCTCACTCAATTTTATGTCTTCTAGGATTT